AAGGTCATTTTGTGTTATCAGCGGTTTTTGTTCACTCATTAATAACCTCAACAGAGAATAAGAAGAAATCTGAAAACTCAGAGTAAAACTTATGAACTAGGCGATGTGACACGTAATATCCTTGGTGGGAAGTACTCATTAGCATTGCAGGCGTCACACAATCTACACGCACCATCGGCACTCGCTAGAAATGGGTTGGAAATTCATGTGCTTCCCTTTTGGTTTGGGTGGGAAGGCTTTAAAAAGTAGTTCTGAACTACACATATGCCAGTGTTTCCCCAAGTTAACCTAAAAACCCCATCCACCTAAAACTCAAATTTTCAACCCATTCCCCAAAGGTGTTATCTGAGAACCTCGGGCTGGAGATAAGGAATGAAATTTCATAGTACCTGCTGGGCTCAGTCCCTCTGTCTCAGAATTCGACAAGAGAAGGAAAGACGCTAACTCTCTTCTTCCCAAGAAACTTGGATTCCTCACCACGTAAGGCACGTCAACCCATCTTATACAACACGCACTCACATAAGGCAATGGCTTTCACCTGGTCTGGTCATTAGGATCATCTGAGGAGCTCTTCTGCAACACAGCCAGGGCCAGACCAATTCAATACACATCTGCCTGTGGGGCCCAAGCGCTGGTGATTATTCAAAGCTCCACAGTGATTTTAATCTGCAGTCAGGTTGAAAAACATTGCTCTCTCTGAAGCAGTGGTTTTGAATCAGGGGCAATCTTACCCATTCCCTAACCCATGGGACCATGTCTGGAGACAGCTTTATTTGCCATAACTAGGGCTTGCTCGTGGGGAAAGCCCCGTGTGCTGCCAAACCTCTTCAAATGCAGGGGGCAACCTATTACAACAAAGAATTATCTGGTCCCAATGTGAGTGATGCCACTGTTGAGAACCACTGCTCTAGAGAAAGAACTGGGGGGAGAAACAGCTTGCTCTGTTTCTAGAGATACCCTCACAAAAGGAAGGAAGGAAGCTTTCAGGAGGGAGCTGAACATTCATGGACCCTGTCTATTTTCTCATGGGGGCTCTCACTGGCTAGGGTGATGATGAAGGAGAGTGTGAAGCTACTGGTCACTAGAACATGCTCTAGGTCTGAAAAGTAAATGACACCCACCAAGATAGCTAAGCAATTTTTTTAGATGGATGATAAAAAAGAGAGTAACGTTTCTTTTCATCATCCCTTCTCAGTTGCTGATAATCAGCAATATGTGCCCCTAGAATTAAAATAAAGCTACTTTTGAGGCGCCTGGGTGGCTCAGTGGTTTAAGCCTCTGTCTTCGGCTCGGGTCATAATCTCAGGGTCTTGGGATTGAGCCCCGCATTGGGCTCTCCGCTCAACGGAAACCTGCTTTCCTCCTTTCTCTCCGCCTGCCTCTCTGCCTACTTCTGATTTCTCTCTGTCAAATAAATAAATAAAGTCTTAAAAAAAATACTTTAAAAAAAAATAAAGCTATTTTTATGACCTTTTCAACTGGATTCATAATGCCCAATGGGTGAACTACTTGTATGGGCTTCTGATCACCAGAATCATGTTTGCTTGGAAGGTCAACAACAAGCAGCTGTTGCTGGAAGGATCTGAGTTCTCCGCATCGCCCAACTCCCTGTTAGGGCGGATCTGCCAACTGATATCTGGAAGTGAAATGCCTTGGTTTCTCTGTGGGAGGGAACACTTTCAACTAAGAAAGTTTGAGCCAACCTTGGAATTCAATGGGATCAGGTAAGCAAATCCCCCGTTCTCAAGGAGACTCTCTATTTGGGTACATGTCTGGATAAAAGTGGCTATTCAACTATTTCATTTACAAATCTGGTGCACAGCAAGTGACTTGAATGAACAGACAAATGCCTTAATGCCTAGATGAAAGTGTTGAATCTACCTCCTCTTCGCACATGGAATTCTCTGCAAACTGAAAAACAGCTGAATCATAACTTCTAAAAACGCGAATGCACTCATGAGCATGTTATTCAGCTTGGAGGGTTTTTTTCTGTTTTGCCTTGGATTTTGTTGTTTTTCAGCCAGCTGCTAATTTAAACATGGCTATACAGTCTTAGCTTTTTTTTTTTTTTAAGATTTTTTATTTATTTATTTGACAGACAGAGATCACAAGTAGGCAGAGAGGCAGGCAGAGAGAGAGAGAAGGGGAAGCAGGCTCCCCGCTGCGCAGAGAGCCCGATGTGGGGCTTGATCCCAGGACCTTGAGATCATGACCTGAGCTGAAGGCAGAGGCTTTAACCCACTGAGCCACCCAGGCGCCCCCAGTCTTAGCTTTTTTAAGAAAGGAAAAATATCCCCAAATTCACCCTTGTATCCAGTTGGAAATTAAGCTGTTTTAACCAAAGGAAACTCTTGGATACCCAGGTCTTCAACTGCCTCCTCCACGGAGTTTGTAACAAGATTTAAAGATGTCCAAGGCACAGTCAACTAAAGCAGTAATTGTTTTCACGAATGCTCCCTTGCTGTGTGTATGTGCGTCTTTTTGGAGGGAACGTTACAAGACCGTATTCGGCCAATATGTGTTTCTTTTCAGTTTCATTCTGCCACAATGCAGACACACTTCCACCGGCTTTCCCTGTTTTTTCCCTTCACTCAAAAACCTCCAAGTGTTCATCCAAAAACACTCATTATCTCACACAAACTACAGATTATGACTGTACATGACTCAGCAGATCTATAATTTGGGGTTTATCTTGATATCGGTTCCTACTTGTTTCTAGGCCAATGATTCAACCAGAGTGTGGGGGGATTAAAAATATGACAAGTCATGTCTTACCATCCATATCAAAAATTAATTTGTAATGGTGGGATACATGCAGGCCCAAATTTATAGGCTGACGATCCATAAACACCTCATGTGCCACTTCATTTTCTAATTAATTATTGAAATAAAAATGCAATGCAAATGCACTAGAAATACACTTTGGTGAGGATAGCAACTGCCAGAAGATTTGTCACTTATCAGAAAACCTGCCGTAAACATAAGAATTAAATACAGTATAAAAAAAAAAAAAGCAACTAAATACAGTGTCATTCTAAAGAATGCATCTCTGCTATACCAAACTTTTAACTAAATAAAATGGTTAAATTTTAAAAATCATTTGCCAGATCACAAAGTCTATCTGCAATCAGACAACAACAAGCCATGATGTAATGTCAACCTCATCTAGAAATATACCTTACTTCATGCAAGGTGTTTCTTAAAAATTGCACTTGAAATCTTTTCATGTCCTTTAAAGCATGTCTTGATTAAACTAGAGGAAATCTTTACTTAAAAGAACACTTTGGGAAAGAAAAAAATTGTTTCATAAGTGAACTACCTGGCCCCTAAGTAATTTTTTTTTTTTTTGGTTCCAGATACAATGTTTCCCTTAAACAGTGTACGCATTTATTTCTCATGCTCATTAAAAAGTAATGGAGAAATGGAATAGTCATTAACTTGAACTTTGCCGTTAACCCATTGCTCCCTGAAGAAACCCTTCATGGCTAGTGGCTCACCTCATCCATGGCAATGCGACTAAAATATCTTTTTAAATGACTTTCACCTCCTGTGAGAAGTGCACAGCCGCCGCTGCCCACAGCAATCAGGGCAGCTTCTGGGCCAGTCCCTGAAGGAGGGAGGGAGGGTGTAGTTAATGTAACAAAAGCCCAAACAGCCAGCCAGGAGGCCTCTGCACCCAGGTCACTTGGCTTCTCCCACCTTCTGCTTTCCAGCCCAACCCTGAAAGCAGCAGCATCCCATCTTCCCCATCTTTCCAATTCCATTGCACATAAAAAAGAGCATTGGCTGCATAGAAGCCAAGCTTCAGGAGTCAATATTCAGCACTAGGAGAAAAGGATTAGGATGAAATGGGCTCCAACAGGTAAATCCCCAGGTACAGTATTGAAAATGTACCCCTTCCCGTCACTCACTGCTCACATTGGCCACCCCCCATCACTGCTCAGAACTGACTGTGCATGGACTACGTAGCAGCTTTCAAATAAAGCAGAAAACCTCAGATATCTTGGATGAAAAAACCCCACAGTTTATAAAAACAAACCTTTTAGTTCTAACTCAACCATAAGTAACATGAAAAGCTTGGGAGGGGGTTTTGTTTGTTGGTCTTAAGAAATGATTTCTTTTCCCCCTTTCTGGAGTTCAAAATGATTTTAGAACCAAGATACAGGAAAGTAAACCCCTTCTGAAAGGTTTAGGGTCTGGTTTAGGGCCGTGTCACCAAATGCAGTGGAGATTACACTTTGGAAACCAAAGGAGCGCCCAAATACATCTGTACAAAAATTTTCAAGAGGAACATTTAAACATTTGGGAGGCTATCTCTCAGTGTAAAAACATGCTGTTCAAAGTATGTTTCAGGGAATCTGGGAGAGGGTGGTGGGTTTTGCAAGAGTGTGAAAGGAAACATTTGATGTGTTTCTCCTACAAAGGGAAGTGCCCCAACACACGGATAAAATCCTTGAGTTAAGGTAAGGCATTGATAGCTACAGGCATTCAGGCAATGGGGCATCGAGCTTGCTGAGGGATACCATATTTCTTTTCCAATGTTCTTCATAATAAAATTCATTTCTTTATGCACTAAGCTGTTAAATGGATTCAAAAACCTCTGGGTCAACCGTTGGATGAGAACCCCTGTAGGAAACGGCACACACTAGGAAAATACCCAAGTTCAAGACCGGAAAGGCTTAGCTTGGTTCTCTTTTTCTCTTCAATCCCTACACATCTCACCCTGACCACTCAGAGTCCCTTGGAATTATCGTTCCTCTCCTTCCCCTAACTCCTCACCCCCCGTCTTCGCCAGGCTTGCTGAGAATAGTACAAACCAAAACAAATCGAGGCGAGGAAACACTCAGAGCCTCGAGCCTCGGAAGCACCTGTTACCTCCCCTCCCCAGCCACCCCTCCATCCAGCGCCTGCACTCCCAACGTGTCTGGAAAGCCCTTCATGGCTCATAAATCTAGTGAGTCGCCCCAGCCAAAGCGGTTCCCCAGCACGTACTGACCCACCGTTCATGCCACTGTAGACACTCCGGTGATGGGGTGACACGTCCTCCTGCGCCTGTCTTCGGAGAGTACCCTCCCTGCTGCCTCCGCCGCTGCCTCCGCCTCCTCCGCCCACGTGTTTGTGATCGGGGCTCCCCCCAAAATGTTGTTTGAGGTGCTCAGGGCTGGTGCCCCTGGCTCTGGGTAGATGCTCCAGGCTCCCGCCGAGGGCGTGTTTCTGCAGATGCTCGGGGCTCCCTCCGCTGTGCCTCGCGTGCTCCGGGCTGCCCCCCGGCCTGTGCTTCTGAAAGTGTTCCGGGCTCCCACTCAGCACATGCTTGGGCAGCGTTTCGGGGCTGCTCCCGGGGTGCGGGGGCCTTTGCTGCTCAGGGCTGCCCTTGCACAAGGGTTTGTGGTGCTCGGGGCTGGGTCCTTTGAGTGCTTTGGGGTGATCCGGGGTTCCGGCGGCTCGGGGTTTCTGCAGATGCTCGGGGCTGGTGCTGCGGTGCTTGGCGCGCTCCGGGCTGCCCTCGCCCCGGGGCTTCTGCAGGTGCTCCGGGCTGCCGCTGCTGGCGTGGTGCTTGTGGTGGTCCGGGCTGTCGGTGCTGCCGGTGCTGGAGGTGCTGCTGCCGTCGCCCACGTCCCGCACATAGGGCGCCGTGGAGGCGGTGAGCTGGCACAGGCTGGCCTGGCTGTCGATGGAGCAGCGGCTGCCCGCGCAGCCGGCGCCCTTCTCTTCGTCGAGCAGCACGCAGAGCTCCTTGAGCTCCATGTTCTCCTTCACCACCTCCTCCTGCTTCACCTCCAGCTCCTTCAGCTTCTGCAGATATAAGGCCACTTCCTTGTGCATCACCCCAGCCGTGTAGCGGCCCAGTCTCTGCCACTCCCGGGACACCCTCTTGCCTTTCTGCCGGTCATCATCCAGGAAACAGCAGAGGTCCCTCAGCTCCTGGTTGTCCTCCTGGAGTTTCTGGTTGATATCCTGAAAAGAGAGAGACAGCCATTCAAGGGCGGTACCCAGGTGAGGCAGCCTCAGGCCCAGACCTCCTGGGAGGGAGACAGGAATAGGTGAATTCTCTGTGATGTGAGGGGCAGAGGTGAGAAGCTGAGAGGCCGCTGATGACTGTCATAAAAATCACAATAATGGGTCTAGGTTATGCTCCCCACCCAGGGCTTACTTGTATTATCTCATCGGATTTTCACAAACCACTTGGGAAGTGATGATTATCACGGTTCTTTTAAAGAAGAGGAGACTGGGGGTGCCTGGGTGGCTCAGTGGGTTAAAGCCTCTGCCTTCGGCTCAAGTCGTGGTCCCAGCGTCTTGGGATAGAGTCCCGCATTGTGCTCTCTGCTCAGCGGGGAGCCAGCTTCCCCCTCTCTCTCTCTGCCTGCCTCTCTGCCTACTTGGATCTGTCTGTCAAATAAATAAATAAAATCTTTTTTTTTTTTAAGAAGAAAACTATATTTTAATCACAGAATTTCTGTTTGAATTTCCAATATATCTCTCCTATCATTTTATAAGATCTCGATTAGTTATTTTTTTAATAAACATATAATATATTTTTATCCCCAGGGGTACAGGTCTGTGAATCGCCAAATAAATAAAATCTTTTAAAAAAATAAAAATTAAAAAAAAAAAATAAAGAGGAGGAGACTGGACCTCACAAAGCTTCACTTGCCCAAGGCCAATATCCAGGGAGTAGCCACATAATTTGCAAGAAAACCCTAAAACCAAGGATCCCCTCCCCTGCCCAACCCCCTTCCTGGAAGAAAATGGCTGCTCGGCAGCTGAGAAATGCTTAAAAGCTTTGAGGCAACAGGACTCCCATCAGCACAAATACAGCACTGCCCGGTGTTCAGCCCTTGACACAGGACCAACAGTCCGGCTCCCACAGGGGACCAGCACAGCTGGCCTCCAGCGGCATTTCTGTCCCGCACATCTGAGCCCTACTGGCATACCCCCTGCTCATCTCCCAGGCATCCCACATGAAACACAAGCAACACCAAGCTCTTGTGAGATTTTCTTTTCTTTTTTAAAAAATATTTTATTTATGTATTTGAGAAAGAGCACAAGCAGAGGGAGAGGGAGAAGCAGACTCCCTGCTGAGCAAGGAGCCCCCTGGGGGACCCAATCCCAGAACCCTGGAATCATCATGACCTGAGCCAAAGACAGCCGCTTAACCGACTGAGCCACCCAGGTGGCCCTCTTGTGGGATTTTCAAAGTCCCCTCCTCAAACTGCCCCTCTCAGCAAACGCAGCTTCCACTCAACCTGCTGCTCTTCCTAAGCGCCTGTGCTTGTGCCTGGCTGCTTCTGCCTCACCTTTCACTCCTGAACTAAACAGCTCTTCTGAGCCCTACACTTCTGAGATTTAACTCATCTTGTCACCCCCATGCTTAGCATGCTAAAAACCACCGCACTGCCCTGAGAATAAAGTGCAGAATCCTTCAAGTCTCCCAAGACCCCAGTCCTCTTAACCTGGCCCATTTCTCCTGCACAAATGGTGGTCTGTCCACTCATTCACAAGGACTTAGTAAGCAGCTAGTATGTGCCAGGTACCAGTCCAGGTGCTAGTAATGTATCAGTGGACACCGCAGACACCTTGACATCCTACAGCTTTCATTCTGGCGGGAAAAACTGACATGGCATGTTGTGAAAGTGCTGGGAAGAAAACTGAAGCAGGCTCAAAAATACTATTTTTTAAGAGAAGGCACCTCACTGAGAAGGAAAACATGTGAGCCAAGACGGGGTGGAATGAAGGAGCAAACATGTGAGGGAAGAGGATTGCAGGCAGAGAGAAGGGGAAGGATTTGCCCTGAGACAAACATGGCTGATGCTGCCCTGAGACAAACATGGCTGACGTTGCTGTGAGGCCAGTGTGCTTGAAGCACGGTGAGCACAGAGAGCAGAGCTGGGAGAGGAGGTGGGAGAGAGGAGACCCAGGAGCTTGGGTGTCGGGGCTGGGTAATGTTGAGCCTTGGCAGCCACAGGAAAGACTCTGGATTGGTGGTGAGCTGAGGATAGAGAAGTGACACAAGAGGTTCATTTTATAAAGAATCACCATCGTTCTGTGTGGGAAAACAAACCAGAGGAGGGGGCGATGGAGAGAAAAAAGGGAGACAAGATAAGGTGGAAGCCAGGAGAGATCAGTTAGGAGTCCACCAGGCTGGTCCAGGTAGAGGGAGAGGATAGTGGCTTACACAGATGGCAGCAGCGGAGAAAGTGGGACCTATCCCTTGACCCCCAGTTGAGCCCCACAAACACTGGCCTGGTTTCAGGGCCCAAGGAACAAGCCCTTCCCCTCCTTCACTTGGAATGTGTTCCCCTAACCTTCTGTACAACTTAATGGCCTCACTTTATAAATCACTTCCCCAGAAGCCATCCCTGACTACTACTATCTAAAGAAGTTGTCTTATACACTTCTACCATTACCCCCTTTGACTTTCCCCCTGTGGCAGTCATTTCAATCACATATGGTTGAATGTGGCTATGAGAACTCACCAGACCCTGGTCCCGAGAATGGAAACCCCATCTATTCTCTCCACCTGTGTGTCCAGAACATAGCACCTCCACTGTAGGTACCTGAACCAAGGAACTTTGAAAACACATTGTGAGGTCCCCCTTTATTCTCCAGTCACACATCGAGTAAAGGGACCGTTTCTTGAAGCACCTTGGTTTGGTGGCCATGAATCAGGGGCAGTTCCAGGACTGTTACCTAAGATTTCTCCTGCTTTCCAAAGCCAGAAAAGCTCTGGTCTTGTGACTCCGTCATCCAACCCAGAACTAGAGGCACTTAGAGGAGACCTGATCGCAGTAAACTCAGGTTCATTCCAACCCTTTGACTGACACTGGTGAGAAAATAAACTCTAAAACATCTGCCACCCACACCCAGCATCCCCTGACGGTATTGGGGCCCAAGGTGAAAGTCACCCAGATGAAGAAGAGGATTTTGCAGTGTGGTTTTAACTCCAGTTCTAACTCTTGGCATCCTATCGGCTTCCTTGTTTCTGATGCCCGTCTCTTCTCGTTATCACTTTCTGACTTCAGGCCTGGCCATTTCCAAACACCCCCCACGTGGCCTCCCCTGCCTTTGCCGCTTCCTCTATCTTTCCTCGCCCACCCAAGCCAAGTTCTCTGTGGCCAGACTGAGCCTCAAAATCACTCCCTGAATGTTCTCTCTCCTGCATCAATCCCATCCTCTCCTTTTTACCAGGAAGATGAATAAACCCTTTGGCCAAGCCAGGAAGGTTTTCTCCTGAGCTCCCTCTTTGTCAGCTAATTATGAAGCCTGCTTGTATCCCAGATTCCCAACTAGAAGAAACTGTCCTCTTCCCTACACGAACTTACCTAAGAGGAGAAATTCCTCTGAGAAGTCTCCCTTAGCCCTGTAACAGCTTCTGGCTGCCGTGGTGGCAACAATCACAAATAAATGAAGTAACTTTCCCACTTATTGCTTAATGCCTCTAAGATACCATAGCTGGAGGACTCATTGGACATCATTTTTTTTTTTTTCCTTTTCCAATGTAGATGCCCTAGCTTCTGGGGGCAGACTCCATTCTAAAGTCATCCTTTGTGTAGCTGACGCGCCTGGCATGGCTCCTTGCGCACAGTAAATAATACGTGTTTGTGGACTGACCAATGCTTTAAAAGCCATAGGCCTGTGGTCAAAACAGGATATAGCTCTGGCTACCGAGGACTTCTTACTATTGTCTCAGTAAGCCCCTGCAAGGTTCGAGTACATGTCATAAGCGAGTAAAGGGTCTGTTGACATTGATGCTTTCAGGGAAATCAGAAGCTGTGGAGACTGTGAGACAATAAGACTTAAAAAAAAAATTAATCTTTCTAAGCTTCAATAATTATTCGACATTTAGTTTAATCCTGCCATTTCATAGAAAGTTCAAGTCATATTCTTCTCCATCTCAATGAACTTCTGTCTGAAAATACTTCCTTTCGACTATCCCACAGCTATTCCTCACTTCTCCAGAACTGGGAAATACACTGGTGCTTTGTGGAGTTAATGGCTTTCCAAATGGAGGGAAGCATATACTTCCCAGAATTCCGGCTGGGGTAAAAGGGGTAACGGCCTACTTAGCTTTCTTTATCACCACATCTTCTTCCAAGAGCAAATAATGTTCTTGGGAATAAAATTCTGAGCTATTTCCTTTCCCTTCTGTGGAAAAGCTAAGCAACCGATTTGATAATCACCTTCTAAGCCAGCTTCTTCAAATCTCCCACATTAAGATTTGGGCTTTCTTTTTCAGAACACAAAGTGTCCTTTGAACATTGACACTGGCTACCAGATGTTATCCATCTGTCTAAAGTGGACATTTAAAAGATTCAACCCACCTCATGGCCTACCACTCAAAATTTCATACGTAAGACTCCTAAGTACTCTCTCTGTGGTTAAAGAATTGTTCTAGTTTGTAATTTTTCTTCATTGCAGGGAGCGGGAATCCGTGTGTTGGGGAGCAGAGAGGAACATTAACATGATGCATAACCAATCTACAGAGCCGGTTCCCCCAAATCTGCCCCCATCCCCTGAAACCCCAGGTCAGAGCAACCTGAGCATTGGTTCAGGGCACAGACATGGTTCTCAGAATCCAACTCCTTGTAAGATCAGAACCAGAATCCCCTTCTCCACCCTTGCAGGATCACACATTCTAACCAGAGAATGTCAACTAGCTGAAAGAAAAGAAAGTCAGCCTATTTTAAACACTGTATATCTGTGTGACCTTGAGAAAGCTATTAACTTCAAATGTATCATGAAATTCTCATCAAACCTTTTCCAGAATTAGCATCCCCATTTAGCAGATGAGAACATTGAAGCTCGGAGAGGTTAACAGCCTGCCCATGCTGCCCAAATTGTCAGACTCTAAATCCTTTCTCTCTCCACTGCCCCACACTGCTCTACCTCTGAAATGTTTAAACACAGACAAGTCAGCCGGGACTTGGACCCAGTCACAGATCCCTCAAGGGAAAGACCTAGTGTTCCCATCTCCCCACCTCTACAGCCACAGTACCTAGTAGCCCTGAAAATATTCATTACGATTTCAAAAGCAGATCACAGAAAGGAACATAAAAAAGAAAAATGTTGTGGCCTTCATAACCCTAACTTTAAGGCCCTCAATTGGGAGTCCCACACCATCAGAGCCAAAAACAAAATAAAAAATCCTTCCTTCTAGGTAAGTCAAAATAAGTTGACTGCACATATAATTTACTCAGTCAACCACATTAGTGCATCACGAGAGTGTCCAGGGATGTTCTGAGCTAAGATGATGGATAGAAGGGAGAAGGCTGGCCTCAGCCAGGCTTCACCACAGCCCCTCAGGGTTGGCCCAGAGGCCTTGGGGGCTATGATGTTGTACCTGGCCCCGGATGATGGAAAGGAGTAGAGGCCGCATAAAAAAGGATCCAGCCCCACCTTTCTGAACTTGATAACGAGATGGATAGAAAAGTCTTTTTAAGCCAGGTCATGAATCGAGACCAGGAGACTCTCCTACTTGGGGTGAAACTGCCCTTCGCTGGCCTAATAGGTATTTCTCTAAATGAAGCTACCAGAAAGAAGACAAGCCTCCCCCACCACTCACATAGACACACACACACACACACACTAAGACAATCCACACAACCCAAGAGAACCTTCAAGTATTTCTGAACTATTATGTTGATGCTCCATACTATTAAAATCCTTAGGAAATTAATTACTTAATTAAAAACTCTTCCAAGCTACATTATAGTTCAAACCATGGAAGAAGATTAAACTGGAGGGTTATGAACTATACCTTTGTCCAGCTTTGCCTAAAAAACCCCATCATGGAGGCGCACACCTATACATCTACAAGCCCTCTCCTGATGACAGTATCTACCACTGTCTTGTAGTCAAGTCCAGAATTAAAGCTTCTCCTACATTATCCTAATGTCTTGTTGCAAACCCCAGGAGATGGTTTTTATCATTTGCATTTTATTGATGAGTAAAATGAGGTTCTGATAAATTAATTACCCAAGCTCACCCTCCTGGCAAATGAGGATTCTAGATGCAAACCCACTTCTGAGATGATCTTTCACTATACTAGCCTGTCTGTAATTCTCCAAGAGTATGGTACTTAATAAGTAATACTCGAGTAATGAATTAAACCAAAGGAGAGTGGAAGCCTTGGGATTTTTCTGACTGTGGGATCTTTCTAACTGCACCCACTCTAGGAACTAGAGGACAGTGAGTTGGAGCCCTGGGGAAGGCCATCTCCACCTGCACTGGACCCAGCGCCCAGGCGAGCCTCTGGCCTTCTGTCCCTCCACACCTCTCTGCCCCAGAATCCCAGAGCAGGAGCACTGAAGCAATTAAGAAAGTGTCTACAGCCCTAGTGGGGTGGGAGTGGAAGGGGACAAGAACAGCCCGTGCCTGCAGGAATTTGCTCCCTGATGTCCCTGCAGTGTTTTGGTTTGTGTCTGGCTTCCTATAAACAAAAGCAGAACAATGAGAGGAAGGAATACCAGCAGGCACCCGCGCAAGCAGTGAGGAGAGGAAGTTTGCGGCGGTGCGCTGGCAGGGCGGATCCCAGACCCCGTCTCCTGCAGCCCCGCGGGCGGGCACACTGCTGCCACACTCAAAGCTCTCCAAGGAGAAGAGAAGTTGGTGGGGTTTCGGTCTTTTTTTCTTTTTCATTTTTTTTTTTTTTTTTCCTAATAGCAAAGAGGGAAGGCTGGTTCCAAAACCAAAGCGTCAAAGCTGACAGCCGGGGTGGTACCTTTCAAATCCCTTCGCCCCCCTCAATACTAGATGAAATTATAATCAAACCGGGTGTGAAGGGGGGCAAGGGGGCCAAGAAGCCCCAGATGACGCCATCTGAATAGGAGCGAAGGAAAGCGCAGGAGCAGGTAGAAAATGTGAAGGCAGAGCTTTAGGTCCTCTGCACTGGGTGACATACGTCAGCTCCGAAGGTGGCGCCCGCGACTTCTCCCTGGGCACCCCGCCAGCCCTTCTCCCCAGCATTGGCGCCCTTTCCTCATCCGCCGGAGCAGTCACCGCTCCAGAGCACCTATAACCCTAACCCCCAAGGACAAAGATGCCCTGGACTCACTCCCTCGCTCACCCCTTCCCCTACCTGTGTCCCGGCTCCCCAAACCACTGGTTTTCCAGGAAAATAAAGGTTCTGCATGCCCATCACTCCCCTCCCTACTTTCCAGCATCCTCGGCGCCCGCTCCTCCGGCCACAGAAGACCCCGAATGAGAGGTCCACACTGGCTCGCCCCGAACAGGGAAGAGGAGACCAAACGCTTCCAAAGTTCGAAAAAAAGTTTCCAAAGGGCTGTGGAAGGGGAGCGGGGGGTGGTGACCGGGAGAGTGGGGAGGATCACCTGTTGACGGAGGGTGGGAAAGTTTGCCTGGCCCCACCTCCCTGGGGCGCCCCGCTCCCCGCCCGGCCCCGCGCTCACCTTGAGCCCGCGGATCTCGCCGAGGTGCAGCTGCAGGCGGCGGTTCACCTCGCGGATGAGGTTGCTGTGGTCCAGCATCGCGCTCACCTTCTCGGCCTCGGCGCGCCGCAGGCTGCGGATCAGCTCCTCCTTGCTCCACTGCAGCAGCTCCTCGTCCGACACTTTGGACAGGTCCTCCACCGCGGCGGCGGCGGACGGGCCGGCAGAGGCCGAGGGACAACTTTCAGCCGCCGCCGCCGCCGGACCTCCGGCCGCCTTCGACATGGTATCCGCGCGGTGGCAGGTGCGAGTGGGTGGAAGAGGCAAAGCGACTCCCGAAGGCGCGGGCGCGGCGGGGCCGCCTCCGCCCACACCCCAATGCGCTCCGGCGAGTCAGCTGCACCGCCCGGCGGCCGCTGGGTTGGGGCGGCAGGGGTCGCGCTGGGCGGCCATCCTACCTCGCCATCCCCGCGCGCGCGCCCGCGCAGCACCAGGGCCGGGCAGTTACCCGCGCGCTGCTGCCGAGGCGCGTCCCAACTCGGCGCGAGTCCATGGTGAGGGGCGCCGGGGAGAGGGCGCCGCCGCGGGAAAACCTCGGGGAGCAGCGGGGGCGCCCGGGGGCCGCGCCCCGGTTCCCCTGCCCTCTCCTCCGCTCCGATGCGAGACCGTCGCCCCCCACACTCTCACACACACGCGCGCACTCTCCTCCCCCTCGCCCAGCTGCAGCCCCGGCTTCACTGCGTTCCTAGTCGAGCTAGGACGCTACGGGCTCCGCGGCGCCTCCGGGATTGCTCGAGCGACGCCGCCACGGCCGCTGCCCGAGAGCTCGGCGCGGCCCGCCTGCTGCGCTCCTCCCGCCGCCTTCGCTGCGCCCGCCGCCGCTCCTAGGCTGCTCGGGGAAAGCCTGCAATTTGCAGCCGAGCCGAGCCACGCCGAGGAGGGGTGGAGGGTGGAGGGGTAAAGGCTGAACCCGCAGGAGGAGGAGCCTGCAACGGGGGCCGTCCGCGGCCGCCCGCACCTCCCGCGCGGACGGGACGCAACTGCCGCTAGATCGCCTCCCGGGCTCCCGAGGCGCTCTCCCCGCTATCCCGCCGGGGAAGGTCGGGGGCGCGGCTCCTGCAGCGCCGCGGCGCGGGTGGGGCGGGATGCGGGAGAAGCTTAAGAAGCCGAGCGGCCCGGCTCTCGCAGGCTCGCGCGCGCCACCATGTGGCGGATGGAGCTCCTTCCTCCGCCCCCTGCGCGCCGGGTTTGTGACCCTGCTGGGAAACAACGCGCGACCAAAATGAGAGACACTTGGTATTTGCAGTGATTGGAGGTCAGGGAAGAAAGACTAGATAGATTAGATGATAGATAGATAGATAGATAGATAGATAGATAGATAGATAGATAGATAGATAGATAGATAGATAGATACATACATACATACATACATACATACATACACACACACACACATACATACATACATACATACATTAGATAGAAAGAATAAGATAGATTGATCATATAGATAGACTGACCAACCCGGAGGATAACCGTCGATTTCTACTTTGGAGAATGGAAGAAAAGGTCGATGGCCAAAAGGGGGGGGGGGGGGGGGGGCCGGGGGAGTGTAAGTGGGGTGGGAAAGGAACATTGAAGAAAACCCTAGTGCTCTGAAAAGAGCAAAGAAAGGCTTTGCTTCGGGGCATTACTCTTTAGGGACCACCCGCCCCCAGGCCCTTGTCTTTTCTAAAAATCCACTACTTTGTGAAGAGCTTCAGGGGCCGGAATTGGATCATTTAAGTTTTATTTGAAAACATCAAAGCCTTAAAGGGAAAATAAAATACCTTCACCTCCAGATTCCCTAGCCCTAGATTTTTAAGGTCAACACAGTCACCTCCCCTCTGAGCAGAAGACAGCCCTTAAGCAGCTGCCAGGGAGAATTCCATTTTCCTCCGCTGCTGGCAGTCAGTTCTTAGTGGGTTGGTTTTTTTGTGATGGTAATTTCTGGAAGTGGGTGTTCCCTGTCCCCGGGTCCTATCTTTGGGCTGCAAAATTCCCTTTCCCACCTCCCCAGTTCTACCCTCCTGTTGCGTGAAATCAAACCAGAGCGGAAAGCATCTGTTTCTTGCCTGAAGAAGTAAGATGCACTTGTCCTGGGCACATCATTTTGATGAGTACTCTCCTCTCCAGGATGGAGACACGGCCAGAAAAGTGCAGGAACTTCCCCCCAGAGGGCTTCGGAAAGCCAGGGTGCAGAGGGGCTCTGCAGAGGTAGTACCTACTCAGAGGTAGGGTGAGGCTCTGAATCAGAGTCCCTCCACCTGCAGGTCACTGTGCATTCCCTGATAAGGCTACCACCTTTTAACAGAGCATCAGATGGGGACTTTCTGGGTCCTAGCTTCCTGGAGAGCAAGGAAAGAGGGTGCAGCCCTCTGACCCAGATGGCCTTAAAGTACCCCTCAGCTTGACTATAAACTTTAGACAGGTTTCTTCCTGACTATACGTCCCTGACCTCCCTTTTCTTAGAGCACTTCCTTTAGCAAACTTGCAATTGTGAATTCTTTCTCTGCTGCCTTGAGTTGTAAATCACCTCCCAGCTTCTCACCTGTTTCACCACCCAGGAATGTCCTGCTCCAGGACCTGGAAGCCATCCCTTGGAAATGTAATTATCAAGGAAGACAGCCCCCTCCCACCCCCGCCCCATCTCTCCTTCTCTCTGAAAGGTGTGGAGCCTAACTTCACTAAGTGCCAATTAGCAAACATAAATGGTCTAATCACACTAACCAACTCCCCTCACCCCTTCCCATTCCCAGTATCCTCCAGTATTTTCCCAGTAGCCCACCCTGGGGGCTTAAAAACCCTACTGTGTCTTGGGGCCCTGGGTGGCTCAGTCGGTGAAACATCTGGCTTTCCATCTCAGCTCAGGTCTTAATCTCAGAGTCTTAGGTTCAAGCCCCAAGTTGAGCTCCTGGCTGGACATTGAGCCTACTTAAAAAATAAACAACAACAACAACAACCAAAAAAAAACCCAACAAAAACAAAAAAAACACCCTCCTGCCTCTTATGACAGAGGAGTAAATTTCAGTCTCTCTCCCCTTGGGTTTAACTGCAAGTGAAACTTGTCTTTGACACCTCCCCGTCTCTCATGTGGGCAGAAGGCTCTCTTCAGCACAGTTCCTGAGATCTCTTTTGACACAGAAAGGGAAAATACAAGTCCTGTCCCTGTCCCTTGTTAATTTGTCAGCTTGAACAAATCATCTTACCTCTTGGGGCTCCGGCAGCTAACGAGGTAATAGACATGAAGTCCTTTGTCAAGTTACCTACAGAAACGCCACTTTGTTATGACTGATACTACAACTGCCTAGCCCACTCTCTGGATACAGGAACCACCACATCTGGGTGGTTTTTCCTCCACCGGGTTTGTTCTTTAAGAGTCCAATTCCAAAATCCAATGCCAGCGCTCTTCGTTGCTAATTCTCTCGGACAGTTAACCACTAAGAAGCTATTGGAAGGCAGATAGATGGCTGAGTGGAGGAACAAGACATGAGGGGAGAAGTCAAGGAAGAAAGAAAGCAAAGAAAAATTTTCCATAAACTTCTATACCCTAGCAGCTACTTACTACTGGGCTAGATCAACGTGATGAAGTTTTGATATTTCTAATTTTGGTCACTGATTCAGGATAATTATGGAATGAATGATTTTGATTCATGTTGCTAAGGTCATGGTGGTATCGGGAACTTGGCTGCTAAAGACAGACGGCTCAAAACGCAATCACCTAAAGAAGGCATGTATTTTCTCTCACACAACCGACATTCAGTTGAGGGTTGGTATGATGTCTTTATGGTATCATCAAAAACTTAAGACTCCTGGGGCGCCTGGGTGACTCAGTCAGCTAAGCAACTAATTCTTGGTTTCTGCTCAGGCATGATCTCAGGATCGTGATGTCAAGCCCTGCGTTAGACTCTGCACTCAGTGTGGAGTCTGCTTGAGATTTTCTCCCTCTCCCTCTACCCCTTCCCCCAACTCACACTCTCTCTCTCTCCCTCTCTCCCTCCCTCTCTCTCTCAAATAAATAAATACAATCTTAAAACAACTTAGACTCCTTCTCTCTGCTCAGCCATACTTAGCATGACTATTTCCTGGCAACAAGGTGGCTGCTGGAGTACCAGCCATCCATCTACATTTGGGGCAGGACAAAGATAGGACCAAATGCCAAAAGGACACATGCCATTTTAAAATGTGTCCTGGTAATATAACACAGTGAATCTCATTTGTATCCTAATAGCCAGGGCTTGCCATGGAACCACCTCCCCACTATAAGGGAAGCTAGGAAACTTTTTAAAGTTAAGCACCTTAGCACAACCCCCCTCCTTTTTTTAAAAGATTTTATTTATTTATTTGAGAAAGAGAAAATGTGCAAACAGAGGGAGGGACAGAGGGAGCAGGAGAGAGGTTATCTCAAGCAGACTCACCACTGATCATGGAGCCCAACACAGGGCTCAATCCCACAACCCTCAGATCATGGCCTGAGCTGAAATCAAGAGACAGATGCTCAACCGACTGAGCCACCCAGGTGCCCCAAACATCTGATTCTTGATCTTAGTTCAGGTCTTGATCTCAGGGTCATGAGTTCAGGCCCCATATTGGGCTCCACACATGAAAAAAAGATAAGCACATTAATGCCCCCAAGTAAAATCAGAGTTGTTTTAATAAGAAATAAGAACACATGATATGTGATGGACAACTAACAGTTTGGTATGCAACCCTAGCAGTAGATTCTGTGTATCTAAAAACCAGCCATAAACGACACTAAGTCCATAAGCCCTGGAGGTTTTATCTCATCGGTCGTTTTGAACCACCTCCATTCCATCCACCACTCACCATCACCCAGACCAGGCCCTCACTAGGTCTCACCTGACCCTCCTCACTGGTCCCTCTGACACCAGTGTCACTTGTCTTGAATCTGCTTTCCACACAGCTGCCCCAGGGAGCTATCTACAAAGTCAAGTCCAGCTGTTTCACCTCCAACGGAGATCAAATCCTTGTGCAGAGTTCTTGCCAGCCCACCAGTCTGATTCAGACCACTCTCTGCATGCGACTTTGCAGCAGCTCCCAGGCAGGGGGGCAGTTTCCCCAAGGATGATGTGCTTGGCCGTGGGCTGGTGTTGCTAATGGAATGTGGGCGTACCTGAGTGGATCCCTTCTGCTTGTCCCTTCACCATCTTGTACTTCCCACATATCACTGGCAGAAGAGCTGACCTTGGGCAGCTGCTTTTCCTTGGGGCTCAGCCCCATGCGGTGTCATCCCAGGCATCCTACAAACCTGCACCCTGAAGTAGAGCCTCCTTCCCCTCGAAGACTCTCACACCTGTGTTTGAGAGTGTGTGACAGCTATTTAAGCCCCTAAGTTTTGGCCAGATACATTGTGCAGCATGAATGCAACAGTCTGCAGCTAC